TACATTACAGGAGTGTTAAAACATCCAAACATGCACACTTATCTTATTCTAGTAGAGATTAGAGGACAGGTCTAATGTTGTGAACAAAATGATCAAGTCAAAGTTATTTTTATCTAATGTACCACATTTAATTTAACAATTAATCTTAAATTACTAATAACTTTAAAGAAGGCAACAATTTACAATGTGGATAAGGTGACTACTTATCCAAAGTGTGTGGGTGTGGGTGTGTGAACAGCTTGTCTGCCCAAGGTTAAAACATTTGGGACAGCAGTGAGAATGTTATGAGAAACAATTTGTTGCTTCGACTGAACTCGAAAGAAGCTGAGATTAGAACATTTGAAATAAATCAAAACACTTGTACATTAATTAAATACATTTGACATTTAGCTTGAGCTGGGTTCAATACTTTCTTTATGGTATTTAAATTGGGCTCAAGTAGAACCTTTACATGGATTTGGCTTGCAACACAAAGTGATACCGATCTCTGTCTGTTATGATTTGAAAGTCTCATGATTTAAAGTGTAGGGCTGTGAAGGAGAGGCCCTTGGAAAACAACCTCTACTTCTTTAACTGTAATTACTTATTGTAAAGAGATTGCAACATTATACTTTTTAAAGAATTGCTCAATTCATTTAACACATTTATTATGCACACTGTAATGAAAACGTCAACAAATATATTGATCCTGGCTTAACCAGCGACCTTTACTCTTTTGTTCATAAGCTCGGTTTCAGAAAACTTGTCAGTAGTTTAACAACTATTAGAATTTTAGTAATGTCTATGGAGACCAATTGGTTGATACGAGAAATCATTTGAAGCAGTTTAATAAAGAATGTTAAAGGGCCCATGTCATGGCCATTTCCACTGATCATAATTACATTGTTGAGGTATACTAAAATAGATTTATACTGTGCAATTTTCCAAACTCACATTGGTTTCGCATACAGCATCTCTGTCAAGCATGTGTATTCAGCAGTATTCACTTTCTCCACTAAACGACTCGTTGGAGCTCTTGCCCCCCCCTCCCTGTGAGCCTAGTGTGCTCCGATTGGTCAGCTCGGCCACTCGTTCTGATTAGTCAACCACCAGAGAGGCTGCGCCCATGTCAGTGCTTTTCCCGGCTGCTCTCAGCGTAACATCAGTCTTATCATGGCGTCGGTACAGCGGTATATTTTATATACATATATATTTTTAACTGTTGTTATAGAAGAGTGTGACGGCCTCAGGGCCTTTGTCTTACGGTGGGGTGGAGCTGAAGAGGGTAATCAGCGCGATCACGGACACCTCCGTAGCCGGTGCTATTAATCCCAGCGGCCCGGAGTCTCTCTCCAAAGCGGCTGCAGAAGGACGAACTGAGCGACCCTCTCCCCTCGACCACCTGTCTCTGCATTTACTACAATAAATGTGCCGTGGTTTTGTAAACTCGTGTATGTCTCCTTGTCTTTCCGTTGTGGCCTACGAGCTACTCTCATAACAAAGAGTAAGTTATTTTTACCCGTTATAAACTACTACTGTTTGATGAGAAATCAAATCATGGTTTGCTATATATGAATTCAGGGAAGAAAGGATAGGCCTACTAAGTATTTCCATTAAACTTTATTTTTAGAAATGTACAAAATGAACATAAATATACATATATACACGGTATATCATCCATTCCTCCTCCTCGCATCTTGCCTGCGCACAGTCGGTGCGGTGCCTTTTAGCACCCTCAGTAGTAGTAGAATCCCTTCCCCGTCATGGATTGTCCGCCAGGATCTGGCTGGACGAAATCAAATGCAAATCACAAAATATTAGAGAAACTTAGTTGTTTTAGATTCGTTAGTAGTAGTTGTGTAATGAACAGCTTGCCTGCTAATATGCTAACCTAGCTTTGTTTACCTTGGTAGCTAACACGATATGAATGTTAGCTTGGAGGAAAGGCAACTATAATGCAGTGTAATAAAACTACTATGAACAAAAGCTAGTGGTTCATATTAGGCTAGCAATAACGTGTTTATAATTGCAATCGTATACGGGTATTCTGCTACGTTCGGTCATACAATGTAACTTGCATGAATACATTGTTTTGCGCTAGCATACAGCTAGCCTCGTTAGCTACATGCAGTATATGTACGGTCACAATGTACGGTAAATCACAGTACAGTATACTGTATGAGTATTCCGTGTGTGTGACTGCAGACATTCTCCTGCCATGACAAACATGTAAGGCCATCTGCTGACATTGTAGTTGATATATTTAAACGCTAGCAACGTAGCATCACAAAAATGTTTTTCTGACCGAAACTAGCTCTAGCTCCGTGTGTTAGATCGCTACGCCAGCTATAATGTAATTACGTTTCGCGACTGACCGGCAAATCACCCGGAGTATACTGTCAATAGGTATTTTGTGTGTGAATGCAGACATTCTCCTGCTATGAGATACATGTATGCAAGGCCATCTGCTGATATTAGAGTTGATATATGGAAACTCTAGCAACTTAGTTAGCACTGTGTCAATGGCTTAGCAGTCCAACACAGTTTACACATTTAAACAGTCTTGTTTGATAAATACACAAATAACAATGCAAACTTACAGGTTGTATACCCAGATCTTCCCCTGCTCCAAACGGTCCAAACAAGCTGTGCATATCCGGCCTCAAACTGGGCAATGTTTTGGAAGCTTTCGTCTGTGAAATGCCGGTTCTTCGAACCTCTGGAGGAGGAACACGACGCTGCTGGTGTGGCCATAGCTCTTCGGGATTGGTCCATTTCGTTCCGGGTACCGCATGACATCAAGTGATATTTAGTATGTTTTCAAGCTAGTGTAATCACTTTTGGTGTGTTTTAACTCTGTTTTCTAGCTATAGTTTAGTTTAGTTTAGTTTAGTTTCATAAAAATTATAATTGTTTTGGACATATGAATGTGATAAACCCTCAGCATCCATATAGGTCAGTGGTTAGAGCTGGTGGCCAATGTGCGATGTCTGCTGCCAAGTACACAGGTTTGAATCCTGACCCCGACAAAGTGATAAGCGATGTCATCCCCTAACCCAAATAAAAGTATCCTTACCTGAAAACAAAAATTCATCCATGTTGCATCTTTACGTTTCCACACTGGCACAAACTAAACACCGAAGAACACCGAATAACTATTTTATCAGTGTAATATGTTAAGGTCAACGTCATATACAGTCTATGGTCAAGGTACTTCTACTTTTACTAAAGAATGTATAACACAACCTATAACAATCAATCGTGTTTCAAAAGATCGTTTTATTATTTTTGTAAACTCCTAATATGCAAAAGAACTACAGCTAAGTGCAGTGAATTAAATGAAAGTATTTTTAAGGAGTACCTGAACATTGTAATTACGTACGATTTTGAGTTACACAATGGGTATGTATCTAAGTAAATAATTTGTCAGAGGAGAACTGGCATGCTGCTGCTGTTTAAAGGGCAATGTAAAAGCACTTGGGTATATTGCAGCTTTGTTATCAGTTTATGACAAAGATGTTTTATTTCAATGCATGTTGGCAAGGCAAGGCAAGGCAAGGCAAGGCAAGGCAAGGCAAGGCAAGGCAAGGCAAGGCAAGGCAAGGCAAGGCAAGGCAAGGCAAGGCAAGGCAAGGCAAGGCAAGGCAAGGCAAGGCAAGGCAAGTTTATTTATATAGCACCTTTCAACACAAGGCAATTCAAAGTGCTTTACAAAAATGGAAGACATTATGAAAATGGCATTTAAAATCAGTCATTAAAAAGAAAAGATAATAAAATAAACATTAAAAGAAAAAATACATGGATAAAATTTAAAGTTACAGTGCAGTTTAAGATGTGAATAGTTCAATTAAAAGCAGCGGCAAAAAGAAAAGTCTTCAGCCTGGATTTAAAAGTAGTAAGAGTTGCAGCGGACCTGCAGGTTTCTGGGAGTTTGTTCCAGATATTTGGAGCATAATAACTGAACGCTGCTTCTCCATGTTTAGTTCTGACTCTGGGGACAGAAAGCTGACCAGTCCCAGAAGACCTGAGAGTTCTGGATGGTTCATAATTTAGCAGTAGGTCAGACATGTATTTTGGGCCTAAACCATTCAAAGCTTTATAAACCAGCAACAATATTTTGAAATCTATTCTTTGACACACAGGAAGCCAGTGTAAGGACTTCAGAACAGGAGTGATGTGATCCACTTTCTTAGTGTTAGTGAGGACTCGAGCAGCGGCGTTCTGAATCAGCTGCAGCTTTCTAATATATTTTTTAGTGAGACCTGTAAAGACACCATTACAGTAGTCGAGTCTACTGAAGATAAAAGCATGGACAAGTTTTTCCAAATCCTGCTGTGACATTAGTCTTTTAATCCTAGATATGTTCTTTAGGTGATAGTAGGCTGATTTAGTAACTGTTTTAATGTGACTGTTGAAACTCAGGTCAGAGTCCATGACTACACCTAGATTTCTGGCTTTATCTGTTGTTTTGAACATTACAGACTGAAGCTCAGCGCTAACTTTTATACGTTCTGCCTTGGCTCCAAAAACCATTACCTCAGTTTTATCTTTGTTTAATTGGAGAAAGTTCTGACACATCCAGTCATTGATTTGTTCAATGCACTTACTCAGTGTTTGAATTGGAGCATTGGCCTCTTCTTACTGTCAATCAAAGCTATTAATGCATCCCTTTAAAGCAATTAATGCATCCCTTTAAACGTTCCATGTCTTTTATTACATCAAAATAGCCTGAATGTAATTCTCTTCTTGCATCAGGAAATACAGATCATCTGAATTTGAAAATTAGCAGACTGTGACTCGCTTTATCTGCTTAATAAATAAATAATTGTGCTTTAAAAACCTTCAACTGTTGAAAGCAAATATGAAGAAACCCGTAAAATTATTTTATTTGTTACAGTAGATCCACACCCTAGAAGGTTTAGTACTATTGTAATGACTAAAGCCAATAAAAAACGTGTCCTTGTGTTTGCACATTTTAACTATGCAACAATAAAAATGTAAAAATCAGGGGTGGGAGGACTGAAAGGTTGCTGGCAGGAACAGGAAAGTAGAATGATGAGAAAAGAGTGAAGGAAGCTATAAAAAGGTCCTGATGTGCATGTGAAGCATTTCAGAGCTACCGTAGATCCCAATACTCCTCCGCCTTCTCCTATCACACACAGGGAACATTTTAAAGAATACAAAGACAAGAAAAAAGAAGAAATAATCACTTTCAGGTAAGGGGTTACTGTACGTCTCGTACATTTTATTAAAAGAACATTTGGTAATGTGTTGCTGGTATAGGTTATTTTCTCTTTCTTTTTTAAAATGGTTTCTCTATTGAGTGTTTTTTAATCAAACTGACATTACATTGCTTTTAACTTTAATTAATTAATGTCAGCAAGAACACACTGTCTCTTTTAAGAAAGGCATTTATAGGATACTTTAATACAAAGGGATAGTTTCACAACAGATCTAACAGGCAGGACTTCTAAATGTAGTCTTCACAATCTTGTAAAAGCAACATGAGAGATAACAGAGCGTAACAATACAATTGGTTTACTTAATGCAACACAATATGACGGCTTAATTCGGTTTATTGCTAAAAGATTACACATCACAATAGTTCAGATATTCTGAACATGATCTGTCCTATACACTTAATGAGGTGATTACCAAAGTCTAAGTGTGTAGTTAATGTATTTCAACTCAATGAGAAAAATCTATCTGATTCATTTTTGTATGTTTGGGAAAGCTGTGTTGAACACAGCATTTTATTTTGTGCTCCTAAAACCATTCTTAAAACCAATCCATCATCATCTTGAATCATTCATGCACAACATTTTAATCCTTGGATCATTATTCTCGAAGCCTGTTTAACAATTTCATTGTTTTAGGCCTATTAGAAGTACACCGGAGAAAAGGTTTACCCTGCAAACAAACATAGATCGACTGAGAGAGTGGAGGGAAATTGGAAAGTTATACCGAGGGAGAAAACACAAATCATTAATTTATTAAGTCGTTTGTTTGTGTCACAGATGTTGGTAACCTAATGAGGTAGAGAAAAACTATTGAGAATATTCTGCGAGGTTTATTTATTTGTTGCAAAGAAAGCAATAACAAAGGAAACACAAAGCAATATAAAAACGTTATACACATTTGAATAATGTGTATTTCAACTGCTACACATTTGGAGCCACTTAATATTTTTTTCTCTTAAGAAAATGCTTATGTATATGTGACCTAAATTAAATGAGTTTTGAATGTATGAAAGGTTTTATATTATTCTCATAAACTGTATCGTTCCCTCACCTTTATCTTTATCCCATGAAGAGCCAAAATGGAGTTGATGTTCAGAGCCCTTCTTTTCCATTTGCTACTGTACTGTGCAACCCAGACCTCAGGTAAGTCTGGTCACCAACAATTAAACAATCTTTGCTCTTTTCAGACAAATTCTAACCTTCTCCCCCTTGTATTTCCTAAGGTGTCACAATTCAGACGGTCCCAGCAGTCGACAGTGAGGGTGTTATACAGACCGAGCTGGAGAAGACTGTGTCCCTGATCTGTCAGCCCGACGGCGGCCATGAGGCTGACGAAGAGTTGCAGTGGCTGAGGAATGGCTTCGCTGTCCGCCTGACAGAAGAAAATAAAATGGGCCTCAGCAGTGTGTGTGTTACACCCGTGCTCTATGAAGACAACGGGGCCACTTTCACCTGTCGCCGGAGAAATAATGCCACAGCTACGGCCTCAGTCACCCTGAACGTCTCATGTGAGTCACAAATAACCACTTCAAATTATGTTTAACTTAAAAATGATAATAAACATTTTGGAAATTGTAAGGGTTTTGGGGATGTATTAGGAGAAAAAAGAATATTACATTTATGTTTAACTATCTTAAATCATGCTTGGGATGCCAATGCCAGTCTGTTGGTCCAACACTTTGGTCCACACTGAACTTTTCTATTCAACTTTAGACTGACGAGAAAACTATTTAAAATCTCCAGAGGATCATTTTGCTCTAGAGCCAACAGCCTTTGAGACTTTGCTGAGGCGCAGTAGTGGTTTAAATTAATTGCTAACATCATGCTTAATCTTAAATGTGTAGGCCTATAATGCTTGTTATGTTTGCCATCTCAGTTAAAGGTCACCTATTATGCAAAATCCACTTTTTCATGTCTTTTATACATCAACATGTGTCCCCTCTGTGTAAAGAGATTCTGAAAGTTTCACAAAAAAATATTCGCTCTCTTTTTGTCCTGATCCATTTATATAAAAACCTGTCTGAAAATGAGCTGATCAGATTTTGACCCCTTTATGATGTCATAACGTTTTTTTGGGTTGTGTAACCATTAGCCAATCAGCAACCAAGGTAACACACCCCCCCCCCCCCCCCTTATCACCTGAATCTCCTCCTAGAGCACCATTGTGTTCTTTTTAACCAAATATCTCTCAGAGGGGCGTGGGGAGGGGCTCCTTATTTTCATCTAAAGTAACAGACAGAGAATCAGCACTTTTGAAACAGGGCTGAAACAGAGGGGATTATGGGATGCTGCAATGATCTGTTTGGTATTTGGAGCCAAACACTTCAGAGACATGTTTTGTATATATCTGAGACCTATAATATATTGATGAAAAACAGTATAATAGGGGACTTTTAAGAAAATAATTATGAGACTATATGTTATTGGGAACCATGAATGTCTGTTCAACGACTAATGGCAATCCATCCAAAAGTTGTTAGGATATTTCAGTCTGAACCAAAGTGATGTACCAACTGTCTGACATCAATAGAAGCCGTAACGTTGCTGAAACTGCTGGCTCCTAACATACAACTGAAACATGTCCCCCTTCAGATCGCCCTCAGCTCTCTGGGTCTGAGGAGGTTTCAGTAGAAGAGGAGTCAATGCTAGTCCTGCGGTGTGACATCTGGGCCAATCCTCCAGTCTCTTCTGTGTCTTGGTCACTAAATGGAAGTGCCGTGGATCTATTAGCAGGTGGCTTTTCTATGACCAATGACGGCTTCACAAGCACAATATCCGCCGACAGAGTGGAGAAAAGCTTGCATGAAGGCACGTATCAGTGCACAGCTGAGTCTCCCATCTATGGAAATCACAGCAAAACATTCATCGTCACATTAACAGGTCAGTTCACACAGTCAGTGTAATCAGCACTTGAAGGGATGAATCATTAATAAGATGCAAGAAAATGTGGGTTGACCATTGTTTTCATCCCAAACTGCAGACAAGACCCTGACTATCCCACTGATGCCATTCATAGCAGGGCTGGTGGTGGTCTTCTTTACTGTGCTTCTTGCCGTTGCTTCACGATGGAACAGAATTAGAAAGGTAACACACGTAACACAGAAAACACACTTACATGCAGAAACACACTAAACCTCTCATTTTTCTTTTCTCTTTTGACAGTGCTGCAAATAGGCTGTGCCCAAAACAACCATACTTGGGTACTTCATCAAATGAAAGAAAACAAAGAGACATCATGACTCAGCTTGTGTGTGTGTGTGTGTGTGTGTGTGTGTGTGTGTGTGTGTGTGTGTGTGTGTGTGTGTGTGTGTGTGTGTGTGTGTGTGTGTGTGTGTGTGTGTGTGTGTGTGTGTGTGTTAGTGCGTGCGTGCGTGTGTGCGTGCTTGCGTGCTTGCGTGCGTGCGTGCGCAAGACTGCGATCACTAATTTAAAAATATTATCATATTAGAAAAAAAAATTTCAACAATTGGGGATATTGCTCACTTGCCTAGCATTCTGCAATCTGTCTGTTAACTTAGCTTCACACCAAGACTGAAATAAAATGCAAACTACTAATCATAGCCTGGTTCTGTCTAAAGGTATCCCCCCATAAAGCCAAAATGAAATGTACACGTTTTATACGGATTAAAAAGTTCGCTACTTCCAATCTTTGTGCTAAGCTACGCTGATTGGCTCTTCGCAATCTGAACCAATCTTCAGCAATATGATATCAAGCAATTTCCAAAAACGTCCTTCGAAATTGGACGATATGTAGGATGCTGTTGACTGTATAATCTGTTGATTATGGCAGTTTGCATTATGACCTTGAGATCGTCCTTAATCGTGTTACTTTTCAAAGTGTGATGTACAATTGCCTGTTTCTTGTTATTATCTTTGAAATAAAAGTGCTTTTGTTTCCTCACCACCTTGGGCTCTAGTTTCGACATTTTCACTAAACTTTAACTCCTGACTCAACAAAACAATCAAAGCTTGTTAAAATCATGTTATACATTTACTTATAATGAGACCAAAGGACTTCCATGTCATGGGGTTCAAGGTCTAGATTTTTGGCTGTTACCAATAAAGAAACACTTAAAAGGTTCACATAAAATATAGCTGCACAGTGCACAATAAAATGTTGTTATCAAATATACAGAATGAAGAAAAGCAAGTTATGGATTTATCTTTTTGCTTGGTTTTGCCTGCAGGTTGATTTTTCAGTAAAGAACATAATGTCAGGCTCTTCAGTAAGCCTGATTGTATCCACAAGTCAGTAATTATTAATAATGTGAGGTAGATGTGTTCGACCTTTTGGAAATAGGTCTCATATGTGCAAATTACATGCCAAAAAGAAAATGTTTATTTGCTAATTGTCTTAAACTGTTTTCGAAGAATGCAGGTTCATCGCATCGTATGTTAGAAGTGGAAACAAAAGTATAAACTCAGGCTGGTTAATGCGTTCATTAAAGTTCATTAAAGTTCTACAGACTAAAACAACAGGCTGACAAAGGCCTCTAGCTCTGGTGGTTTGAATGTTTGACATGCAGGTCTGTAGTGACATCTGCTGGTCACTTTACTTCAAACCTTTTCTTTCCAATTTAATGAGATTTGTGTTTAAAGGTCCCATGACATGGCCATTTCTACTGATCATAATTCCATTGTTGAGGTCTACTAGAATAGATTTACATAGTTCAATGTTCCAAACTCACATTGGTTTCTCATACAGCGTCTCTGTATAGTATGTGTATTCACTCTCTGTCCTAAACGGCTTGTTGGAGCTCCTGACCCCCCCCCCCCCTCCCTATGAGCCCACTGTGCTCTGATTGGTCAGTTCGCCCACTCTGTTCTGATGAGTCCACCACCGTTACAGCGGAACATCAGTGTTTATGTGTTACAATGGCGTTTGTTAGCAACCAGAAAATGACACAAGTAATGACAAACAGATGAGAATGCTGCGTGGGGTCTGGGTGCCGTGTTGGCGGGACGTTGCGGGGCTCGCTGCTCCGCCCTTTGAGGCTCGAGGAGTGGACAGTGTGAGCTGGATTACTGGTGTCGTTTCCTGGTTGCTGCGTGGGGTCTGCGAGACAACGAGACACCGCGGAACTCAGCCGGAGATCCGCTGAGAAAAGATAAGGCTGAGTGAGTGTGTGTGTGTGAGGAGCTCTGAGCCGTTACGTCACTATGACCAGGAAGAAAAAAATGGAAGAAAAAAAAATCTCCAACGAGGCGTTTTGGGGCAGCATAGACAGGTATTTTCTGTGTTAGAGTTTTACTCGCTACAAGGTGTACTTTGAGGGTTTGTGACTTTGCAGACCGTTTACATGCATAAAAAGCTATATAACACACAAGGGGACGGGTAATAACCGGAAAAGCATGTCATGGGACCTTTAAAAGTGCAGATAAGGATGAACTATTAAGGTCATAAAATATAAGCTTCACAAGTGGGAAATAAGTATTAGTATTTAGGAGCACCAGGACAGATCGTGTAGCCTATGGGAATGTATTTAAGTTGACTGTTAATCTATATTGCAATCCCACTAATCATTATATAATTCACTAAAATGTTGATAGCACGACATAAAGGTGCTGTTATATTGAACTGCATTACATTGATATGTGTTTAGATTCATTGTTAATGAGGTAAGATATTTGAAACTCTCAATAAGAGTCGAAAAAAAGTTGTATGTAAATTCAACTAATGTTATTATTATGATTATTATTATTATTGAATAACTTACTAAACTAATCAATTAGAGGGAAAAAACGATGCTTTTTTTAATCTTTCAAGCAAACCACTTGTTGATCACATCGTGAAGAGCACGTTGAGACGTAACGTATTACGTCACACAGGGTGCTTTGCGTGCAGGGCGTGGTGACGTGTATTCGGTGCGGTCTGCGGTCCACCGCCAAATTCAAACAGTGGAAGAAAGAAACAACAGGCAGCTGAAGCGGAATATTCTCAAAACTGCTGCTTTCAGGTGAGCTAGCAACAAAGTTCACGGTTTTAAAGCTAGTATTTAACGTGAGGTATTTAGCGTATATTTGATTAAGTGTAAACTGAGGTTTTATTTAAGTTAGCTAAATATGTTTCTGCAGCTAACGGTGCTTTCGCAAACACTCCCTTTTTGTTGTTTGTGAATGAAAACCACTAGCCTTTCACAGATGCTGCTGCTACTTGAAGACGTGTCATTGTTAAGAGTGCGAATTTGTAACGTTATTATTAATCCTATTTGAAGCATACGTGCTATATCAGTGTTATTTGCTCCTCTGGTTGTGTTTTGGTTTGAACCACATCGTTATCGTACTATGTTAAAAGTGAAACGGGCCAACGAGGCTCTGCAAAGCTTCTTTTTTTAAACGGAAAAGACAAAAGCCACGAAACTTTCACTAACACGATTAACTGGATTGTAGAGGTTGTCACGGGTCATTTCTCGGCCTTTGTTCATCCACATGTTTCACATTTTTGGTTAGTTACAGATAATTGTGCAGTCCCAATCTTGCACTTATGAACGTTAGGTGAATGCTGTGAAGAGTTAGACCTGTTTATCTCTGTCTTCATACCTGTACGTGTCTTCTATAATACAAAATAGTACAGCTACAATTTATAATCTTTCAAATGTCATCTTCAGTTTATCTTTTGATTTAAAAAAAATCCTCATCACATTTTCTAAGATCTGAATGTAAGGTTTTCAAAAGGCTTCAGTCCAAAACTCCCTAATTACATACACAAAACATTTAATAACATCTAAGGGCAAAAGCAGAACATCCTGATTCTGACACGTTTGTAGCTGAAACAAGAGTAATTCTTACTTAATATTGATACATTATAATCAAAGATGATGCAGACTGCTTATCTGCTGCAACGGACATTCGCCTCAGATCTGGAGTAGTTGCATTGTAATGTCTCTAACTGCTGTGTAAAGCACTTTGTTCTTGAATCTGCTATTTACAATATGTTTTATGATATTATCATCCACACTTTGCTGTTCGTTTACAACTCCACTCCCCTTTTGCAGGTTATTCAGTTAAAATGGCATCATCAATAATGGATGGATTGGGTAAAGCTGTGGTGGGAGTGTGGCGGGCGCACACAGTCCTTGATGAGTCTGACGACGCTCAGAGCCCCCAAGAAGCCCCCGACCGTTTCCGCAAGCTTCGCTCTTCCTCTTCACTAAACTCTCTGCGAATGTCTTTGCGTAAGCGTCTCCCCCTCCGCTCCGTCCAGACCAACTCTCTCCCAGAGAATCCAACTTGGGAGGCCCAGAAGGAGCAGCCAAAGCCCAACAAAGTCCACAAACTTACTCGCAGTGCTCGCAACTCCGTCACTGGAGTATATCAGGTAGATGGACTGGTGTGGTTTTTATTTATCTTCATCACTATGTCAATTTTTGAAGATATTTGAGATGAGAGTATAAGTATGAAATGCATTTTAACTATTCTCTTTTATAATATATCTGTTTATAATATCATCATCAAGAAATGCAACAACTCAAATGTATTGCATATCATCCTCATATCTTGCAGTCCTGATGTAACTGCATCCTAATCAGGCAAATGTTGTGACAATGAGGTCCTCCCTCATCTTCTCTCTCCTGTCCTTTTCCTCTCTTACCCAGAGGCTGCAGAGGAGCAGAGAGTGCGCACGTGAGGAGTGTTTGGTTGCCACTCCAGGTACATGTGATGCAGAGGAAGCTGGCGCATCAAACCCTCGCACCCCAAGACGTACGCCTGGCAGAGCTGCAACCCCGAGACGGACGCCCCGAGCAGCAGCCACTCCCAGGCGTACACCCGGCTCCAGAGGAAGAAGGACCCCCGAGGCTGCCGTCAGAGGGGTGAGAACAGGTGGAGGCCGGAGGCAGCTGGTCCGCATGGCTGCACTACGAAGTCCCTTTGCCTCCCCCAACACAGAAAACAAGAGAATGTAAGTCTGTTATTCTGATCAAGTGCTTCAGATTTTGTTTGCTAGTTTCATTTCTGAATGTTTGCTTCTCTACTGTAACAGAAAGTTTGATGAAGATCTGCATTCAGTGTCCAGTGGGATCAGGAGGCTTAAACATCTGTCCAAGGCCTTTGAAAACATCATTGGCAGAGACAAAGGGTAAACCATCTTTTATTTTGTTATGTATTAAACACTGGGTTTGTTGAATTCTAACATCTTTATTTTTGTGTGTCTTATTCAATGTTTTCTTGTAGTCAGTAATACATAGTTGATTGAAAGTGGGCAAAATTAAATCTTTGTATGTGTAGATGAAAGCATGGGAGTGTGTGTTTGAGGACCAAATCAGTCCACTTTCTGTTACTCATACATGTTCTGCACAGAGGAGACCTCAGAGGCGCACAATCGCCCTCTTCACCCTCCCTCCCTAAGAGTCTCAGCACAGATTGTGGTTCCCCCTTCCTTCCCTCCCCCGACTCACATTCTTCCCGGTCATATTTGAAACTAGGACTGTGTTCTTGGTATTTTGGATGAGGGGGGAGTTAGGGACGACAGCAGGGGGAGAGTGTATGGGTGTGGGTATTGGAGCCAGAGTAAATTACAAAAATGTGCTTGAGAGAACTTGGAGTGCAGTTACATCACTTCCTGTGTTGACATTCAAAATATAAAACGGTGGGCTGTGATCTTGTCCGTTTTCAGTTTGCGTTACATGCATCCAACAGCTCTCCTCACTGTATAAAAGGCTACTTTTGAAGTTTAAATGCAAGTTTGTTTTCCTCTTACAACAGGCAGTTCGACTACTCCTTAGTGGTGGAGTAGGGAAGAAGGTAAATCCAAATGCCAGAATACTATGCTACTAAAAACCAGCTGAGCTGTGGAAACGTGCTCCGATTTTAATTTACTTTGATACATAAAAGCGCATGGCAGAGACAGCATGGTGTCTATTTCGATGCATGGATTACTCGTATGTGTGACATTTTGAAAGCCTCGGACCTGTTGCAATCAAAAGTTGATCTTGTGTGACTTATTTATAACTTGCATTGACCAAGTCTCTTCTTCTCTGTCAGACTCAAACTTCCTTCTTCCTTCCTCCTTTACATATCCACTCGTACTCTGTTGCCTTATCAGCTCAGCTCTGACATGCTTATCAAGGGACCTAAACATCAAGTCAATGGACTTAACCTAAACATAAATATTACCTTTCAATTGCTGCTTTAAAAAATAAAAATGTTGTGCACTATATAAATACCGGTTTCATTTTCTCCTTTTGAAATAGAATAATAATATAGCCCCATTTCATAAAAAAGGAAGCTCATAGTCCTTTTTACATTCAGAGTAACCAAAAAGGTTCAAATACATTTAAAAAAAAAAAAAAAAAACGTTTTCTAAGAAGCATTTAAAGTGCAATGATTATTAAGTTATATTTTCCATAACTTATTGGATTAGTGCAGCGGCTTAAAGTCTGTGGACACTTTCATCACTCACTCCTCCGGTGTAAATGCTCCGTAGTTATTTGTGTCCTCTCTTTCTCTCTGCAGGACCAGCACAAAGGAATGTTCTGGAGGAGCAGTGATGAGAAAGTTGGACCCCAGCGGTAAACTCAGTCGCTCAAACCTCACACGTCGAGCCTCTAACCTCTCTACCACAGTGGGAGGTTGGGCTCACACAGCTGTGAACACTATCTGCAAACCCAACTGAACAACATGCATGTCTGTATGTGATACACGGATCCTTTTTATAGACATTTATCCTTATTGATGTATCACTGTTAGATTTACTTTTAGTGTTGTCACTATACTGGGAGACTGTTACACGGCAGCTTTTTTATATCTGTGATGTGTGTAGTTTGCCGCATTCAAGTAATTCTTGTATGTTTACATATCTTAGGTTAGCCTGGGTGAAAAACCCTCATTGTAGCTACCAAAGGGATTTGTATATTGTTGTGTATGTACCTGTTTAGCTGCTACAACCACATGTCTTTAGTTACATTTGTATAATACTAATATTTTTGTTTTGGATTCTCACTTTCTGCATAGAAACGTTTTTCCAGTTTCTAAAATATACTTTAAATTAAACACTGCACAAGACCAAAATGATAACTGCAAGATTAACACTAAATTCAGTGACGACGAGGAGATGCCCCTCCCTTTACTTTATATGTATGCAATAATGTTACTAACATGTATTATTCCTTTTTTAAATGATGTTTGATTATGCTAAATTAAAGTGGATTTTCTATGAAAGGGAACTGTTTTATATTTGAGTGGATTTTTTTTTGTTCATATCTTTCCCTGAGGCAGAGGAAGGCACTTTGAATGGCCCGTGGATGATTCTTGCATCTATAGTGTACACATAAATCATTTGATAATGTAATGGGGGAAGGTGTAATGACTCATTACCTGATGTCAGCTATAATTATGTTATAAAGCCATATCCAGCAGCTTATTAGTGTTGTGACTTTCAAAATAACATTTCAAAGGAAGAAACATTTTTCCTCTGCCAATTTCTGTGTATCGGTACGCTTTTCCGCAGTGATGAAAAGGAGATGACGTGCCAAAATGTGAAGAAAAAACACACAATAAAGCCTATAAACTATAACACCCTAATTGTCTTGTCTTTTTTGTTATTGTTATTGCAACACAAAGTAATTTTCTAAAATGAAAGTGTGGTGCGAGTGCTGTTCTTGTCAGTGATAATCAGTGTTTATGTCAAAGGTTTTGATTCAACATCCTTTTAAAATCAAACTCACAATTGTATAGGATTGTTGTTGTTATTTTAAGTGCATTGCAGCATGATACTATTTGTTATGCCATTGTATTATTTTACACAATCATACAAATATGAGTCCAATGTATATTTTGAAATTGGGTGGGATGGTATAAACTGGTTTTTAATTGTATTCTAGATTCAGTTAGCTAAATGTTCCCTAAGTAAAATTAAGTATATTTCACAAAGCCCTGTTTAAAAAAAAGATTCTTTCAGTAAAAGAAACATGACCCAGCAGAGTAAATATTGAATTTTCTCTTCTTACAATCAATTAATAGCAATAAGTCAATTGAATTTGTTAACTGTTAGAACATAACATTTGATTATATTGAACAATTTATATATAGATTGATTGATAGATAGATAGATAGAATGTTCCAAAGGACCAATATACAGTACTACAGCAACAGAAATAGTGCCGTCAGTTTCATCAATATATGCATTTTTTTATTATTATTATTATATATCTTTATGGGCCATGCATAAAAATACATTATTCTCAAAAAGAGAAGAAATGCTATATAGGCCAGACTATAGCTAAAAGCCACTTTCCATTCCACTTTCTATTCAATTATAACTAATATTAAACGTGTCGCAGGTCCAAATTGTGCCACTTGGGTTACCAGAAATACACCCAACAGTGTAAACAGTCCTCCAGATTGCACACGCCCTTTTAGCGACGCCTATGTTGAAGATTAAGAAGATAAATTATGAGATTTCTGAGGGCTTGCTTTAGATTTATCAATGCAACTACTGGTATAAAGCCAACAGCTCGACTGTGTGGTGTGTTGTGGTCGCTGCAAGTGAAACGCGCATCGTTCAGTTTGTCTCTCGCTGCTCCCCGTCTGCAGCCCTCGCCTCGCTGCAGTCGCTCCTCCTCTGTCTCTCCGGCTTTGTATCAGGAGCTGAACCCACGCCGCGGCTAACTTCTTCAAGATACCGGGGCTGATAAACATCACAAAATGGCTCTTCACGTCCCCAAAGCTCCGGGCTTTGCCCAAATGTTAAAGGATGGCGCCAAGGTGAGTTTAAATGATTTTGTTGGAGGAGTTTGGTATCTTTGAGTGCGGTTTTGAACTAGCATGCTATATAGCCTAGCTAGTGTTAGCGTGCCCATTCACAGTCATGTGGGGAGACTTCTAGAAGGAAGCCAGGCCGCGTAGAGCTACTGCACCCTGGGCTGCGACGAACTGAAGCCTGTGTCTTTTTGTACTCTCCCTTTTAGCTATTAAACATGATGTATATGTCTGCAGTGTTGTTGCAATTATAATTGACAATTGAAGAGCAGTCACACCCATTTAGCCGTTAGCTAGCTCTCAGAGGCTTACATCGTCACATCGCCTGTCTCAGAGATGCTGATGTTTTACTGTCTCGAGTTCGCTTTATATGATTTATTTTCATAACGAAATTAAACATACTAACCACATTTCACATCTGTTTTTCATGTTGTCTAAGTTCTTGATACTGTTTATTCCCTATTAAAATAATTCTGATAGAGCCGTCCCGTTACTCTTACACGCATTATTTTCCATACGTTTTAATTGAAAATGCAAAACAAGTATTATTTCTCAGACATCATACGTTGAGATTATTTGAGAGAATTTACATTAATAAAACCGACCAATTCATGACATGGCATAAAAGATGCTATAGTTAGCCAAAATGCTACTTTTCCTATATTCCCTGTTCAAGAAGTTCCTCTAAAAATAAAAAAAACGCCTAAAACCGACCATGCAGTTTAACTAGCTTATTACAATACATGTAATAAATGCAATGCACCTGCTTTTATAAACCACCCTAATTGAGTTACTTTGTTCTCCAACGCAGCACTACTCCGGGCTTGAGGAGGCTGTGTACCGCAACATCAGAGCCTGCAAGGAGCTCTCTCAGACCACACGCACCGCCTATGGGCCAAACGGTAAGCTCACACCCATGAGAAAATATGTTTAAAATCTAAGTTCAAACCTAGAAATAAGTTAAAGCGGCGACTGCTGAACTATGACATTGTTGCCTTTTTACTGTGAGCCATGTTCATGGTCAGCTCTCTGATAATATTGTGCACACATGTCTGCACAGCCCTCCACATTTAAAATATAATACACTGTAGTTTGTCCTGTATATTCATTCTACTAAGTTTTTTTAGGTATTGGGTTATCTGTCGCCACTTTTTAATAGCGGGTAGCTGGCTCCTTCTCAAAATAACAAGCATTAATCCTAGGGGTTAGGGTTATTCAGAGAGTCTGAAAAAAAGTGCGTATTTAGAGTGGCGACAGATAGCCCACAAGTACCGTTTTTTTGTATATTTAGTTTGGGTGTAAATACTCGTCTTAATTCTTTTTTTAATCCTAAATAGTTTCTTAAACATACTTTTTTAAAGTTTATAATCATTATATTTTTTACCTACTGTTGCAACTTATTTTCTGAGATTGTTAATGTCTGCACCACCATACACCAAATGAAATTCCTTGTGGGTATAAACGTACCTAACAATTAACTTGATTCTGATTTTTAGGTATGAACAAAATGGTCATCAACCACTTGGAGAAGCTGTTTGTCACCAATGACGCCGCAACGATCCTCAGAGAGCTTGAGGTAACGATGCCTAACATGCAACAAATACAGGAATGATAAATGAGTAAATGTAACTTTACATATATTAATAATACTCCTTTTGTAGTAACAGTATTTGTTTACTTAAATATTACATTTGAGCCTTTTTTAATAACAGTTTTAACCATAGTGTGAACAATTATTCTATATGCTTTTTTTACTTTGCGCGTTTGCCCCATTAATCACCAAATCTAATTTCTTGTACTTTTTCTTTTTTATAGGTTCAGCATCCAGCCGCTAAAATGGTTGTGATGGCATCCCACATGCAGGAGCAGGAGGTTGGAGATGGTACAAACTTTGTCCTGGTGTTTGCAGGAGCTCTGCTTGAGCTGGCTGAAGAGCTGCTCAGAATGGGCCTGTCAGTGTCAGAGGTATGAAAAAACGTTGTCAACAATCATTTTGCATGATTAAAACTAAACGATTGATTGGCAGGAAAACTATAGCCAAGTATTTGATCATCAATTCTGGCCATTTAAGTAGTTTTGCATGCAATCAGAAAGTCTTGCTTCTCATATTTTTTGCTTGCATCATATTTAACTGAAAAATCTTGGGTATTGGACTGAGAAATTAAAACATTTTAAGGCATCACTTTTAGAAACTGAATATATAAGTAAATATCATGCTGATTTGTTTAAAAGTAGGCTAGGTAATTCACTTCAGAAACACTTTTTGTTATATTCCATGGAATGCTCTTAACATCCCGATAGCAATGAATATATGAAATGCTTTGACAATAAATACATACAAAAATGTCATCTGTGGAAGCCGTAGTACTGTAAAAAGCACGACCAATCATCTGAGCCGGCCTGGCTAAAATAACTGGATGGCCTACCTGCCTGTCAGCCTTCCATCTGTGCACAAACTTATCTCGTGCCCTCATTGGTCATGTGTGCGTTTGTGTGTGTTGGAGGAGGGGCTCTGTAAGGAAGTGTGAAGGAAGGGGCAGATTTTTTTCGGCTGCGTACTTTCAAATTCTAGCGCACTCGAGCTGGTTTCTCCATTCTTACCTACCCTACCTTTTAAGGTTAATGTTCAAGACACTTTCTTTCTGGATCCTAAAGAAATGGATTGCTGCCTTTTGCTCAGTGTCTTCTTCCCTCTGTGAAACAGGTGATTGACGGCTATGAGATGGCGTGTAAAAAGACTCTGGGCATCATGGCCGACTGCGTATGTTCCAAAGCCGAGAACCTCCATGATATTAAGGAGGCAACGGCTCTTATCCGCACAGCAGTCATGAGCAAACAGTACGGTAATGAAGACTTCCTCGCCAACCTCATCGCCCAGGCCTGTGGTGAGTCATCAATACAGAACTCCTCAAAGATATTTATTAATACTTACTTAATGTAAGTATTCATTTTGTATTTCCTTAACTTTCCTTTCTGGGTTGTGTTTCAGTGTCCATCTTCCCAGAGTCCGGCAATTTCAATGTTGATGGTGTCAGAGTATGCAAGATTTTGGTAAGCAGCATTATCCTTTTAAAAGTATTTGTTTTTTATGCTGTGTGTGTTTTTTGTTTGGCTCTAAATCAATGTCTGTGGTGTTTTCAGGGCTGTGGAGTGACATCGTCCACCGTGCTACATGGCATGGTTTTCAAGAAGGAAGCAGAGGGAGATGTAACATCAGTTAAAGACGCCAAGCTCGCCGTCTACTCCTGCCCCTTCGACTGCATGGTGACAGAGACCAAGGTGAGGAAGACTCCAGTATCTCTTTGATGCTTTTAAACTAATCTGAATCTCTACAACATATGCAGGGTTTCTATTGAAATATTACGTATTTAAAATAAAGAATTGACTTCTCCTGGGAACCGAGGAAAAAAAGTGTTTTCCAATATTTAATTAATTTTATTCCCTACCTATTTAAGGTTAAAAAAAACATTTTGCAATTTAGACTTTTTTACATTTTATTACATTTTTAAATGTTACAGTATGTCCACTGTAGCCAAAATTAACAGATAAACTATGTAACGTATTATGCTTATAGAGTGATATTAATACAAGAATACATTCACCTTTATTTAAAACATAAATAAGTAATTGAACATTGCTGTTTTTTTGCTAGTTTGGTTTTTGGTGAATCTTTCCAGATCTTCAAAGACCTGTAGTCGATGTACTGGGAAAAGTAATAAATTGGACTCCGGTCTGCACGGGCTGTAGGGTCAGCTTGACTAGTTTTATGGATGTGGTCTCTACTTGATCTGGTATTTAATATCTAAATGTATTTTTGGCATGTCAAAGCGAGAGAAGCTTAAATATAAATAATATAATGGCCAAACATCATTTAGCAGTTTCAGTTTCAGAGTCATGATATTGTGCAAACGGTTATAAACGATCCTAGTAACAGTTGGGCTCTTTCTACCCTGAAAAGTCAAAGTGACTGCTGTGGAACAAATGGCCCACAGTCAGGGCTCTAAAGATGGTCTGTTCTCGGGTGCCAACAATCGTCTTTTTGTGTCTCTCAGGGCACAGTGCTTATCAATAATGCAAAGGAGCTCATGGAGTTCAGTAAGGGAGAGGAGGAAATGATGGAGGCTCAGGTGAAGGCCATCAAGGATGCTGGTGCCAACGTAGTGGTAACTGGGGGGAAAGTGGCTGACATGGCGCTTCACTACGCCAACAAGTACGACCTCATGGTGGTCAGGTAAGAACCAGAAGAGAAACGTCCAAATAACTGAAATATAATGGAGATTGGATAGTATGACTATACTTTTATCACTGTGCACTTCCGAGTCATAACTCCCCCTTCTTCCCCGACCAGGCTGAACTCCAAGTGGGACCTCAGGAGGTTGTGCAAGACTGTGGGAGCTGTAGCACTGCCCAGGATGGTGAGTGCCTTCAGGTTTCATTCAGACAGAAACCATATCAAGTCAATGATATCTCTATAACGGTTCTGCTCTGCTCTGTTAGACGGCGCCAACTCCAGATGAGATGGGTCACTGTGACAGCGTTTACCTGTCAGAGGTGGGGGACACTCAGGTGGTGGTCTTCAAACACGGTACGTCTTTTTTTTGGGAGTCTTTATTTTAAATCTGTTCTTTGCTCCCTATGAGTTGAAGGCTCATTGTGTGTGTTCTTGATTGTGTTGAACAGAGAAAGAGGATGGTGTCATCTCAACGGTGGTGATCAGAGGCTCCACCGACAACCTGATGGACGACATTGAGAGGGCTGTCGATGATGGAGTCAACACCTTCAAGGTTCTGATCAGGGTAAGTGAAACCAATAAACCTATGTACAAATGTTGCAATGTGAGTAATAAGAAAATGCAAATGAAGGAATATCTTTTTTATTGGCAAAGAAAGATACAAGCGTGACAATAGCCGCGTTCACACCGGAGTACTTTTCACCGTACTTTTCGCGTTTAGTTCCGTTAGTACCCCTTATGTCGCGTTCACACCAAAAAGAGCACTTCATCTCGGGAACTTTTACCCCCATTTTTAGTGCCTGCTGAGAGATGGTACTTTCCTGGGGGAAAAAAAGTGCCCCAGTTCTGATTGGCTGGGCGAATTGCAAACCACGCCCCGTACAACTCTGAAATGTTTTGTAGAGCCGCCATTTTATTATCCTGGCATTAGCATTATTAGCATTAGCATTCGCCCAGCGCACAAACGCAGAGAGACTAACTTATGGGCAGTGAGACTGTTAAACAATTGAACTGCTGAAACAACTTCAAAACATTCATCTGCTACTCAGTAATATGTATCTAATATATATCATTCCAATAACTTGTATATAGACTCGTACTGCACTATTCCACATGCTCACTTTATTTTATAACTATTTTAAATATCTTTTTGTATTGCTCTTGCTATCTGTATTGTTATTATGTTATAATATTATGCATTGTTGGAGAAGCCTGTGACATAAGATTTTCAACAACATAATTACTCTGTAGCTATGTCAGTTTGACAATAAATAAAACATGGGAGCGGTGGAGATGAGGAGGTTCCGGCGATTTACTCGGAAGGCTTCAGTAGAAGCTGCTGGGAGTCCCAGCAGCTTCTACTGAAGCCAGTCCCCAACTCCGGGGACTTCCGGCCGGGGACTCCGGGTGGCAGTATACACCGTGAAGTTGTTTGCGGCCTGCCAGTAAACCCAAAGCAGAAGAAGTGACGTCAGCGGCTCATTTGCGTAATCTTCCCTCAGGGAAAAGTACTCCGGTGTGAACGCGATCTGTACTAAATGCCCTGGGGTAATAAGTGACGGGGCACTGAGTGCCGGCACTAAATACGGCAAAGTACTTGGTGTGAACGTGGCTAATTGAAGAGGATCTCTTCAAAATGTATCTAAAGGACTTTAAACACAAAATGTGTTATTCAAGAATATTTCAGCAGTCAAATGGATTTCTATTGACTTCTGTTATGCCTCAGAGTAAATTGAACTCAAAATGTGTTTCCATTTACTCTGTGGCCGGCACAGCTGCTGAAGTTTCTGTGTCTTTCCCCGTTTCTAGGACAAGCGTCTGATCCCTGGAGCAGGAGCCACTGAGATCGAGCTTGCCAAACGGATCACTGAATATGGAGAGGTACAAACATTTAAGTCCATAAATGGAAGTGCACCACGTTCAGATTGATGCCTCGTTTTCTCTTTACTGCCTGACTTGCTGATGAATTGCATACCCATGACCTTTTCTTGTCTCCTGTAGTCCTGCCCGGGTCTGGAGCAGTACGCCATCAAGAAATTCGCTGAAGCCTTCGAGGCTGTGCCGCGGGCGCTGGCAGAGAACTCTGGAGTGAAGGGGAGCGAGCTCCTCTCTAAACTGTACTCTGCTCATCACGAGGGGAACAAAAACGTCGGCTTTGACATTGAGGTGTGTGTCTGTACATTGTTCAGAACAAATATTGAAAATGAAGAATTGACCTGCTCATCATCCAAGTCTTTGTTCAGTAAACATTTTGCCATGTTACACAGATGATGATGATTCATACATTGTTGGGGATTTATTGAACCGTCATGGTGTTGATGATGTGATGTTGTCTTCAGGGAGAAGGCCCCGCTGTGAAGGACATGCTTGAGGCTGGCATCCTGGAGCCTTACCTGGTCAAACACTGGGGCGTCAAACTGGCTACCAACGCTGCCATCACAGTACTGAGAGTGGACCAGGTGTGTACAAATACTTGCGGATGATTAAGAAACTGCCGCAAAAAAACTGAAATACTTTTATCTTCAACTTCATCACATTCTGCTTCATCCATATTTACAAATGTATTCACTATATCTTAATACTTTTAGGGTTTTATTTCACTATGTTTTGAATAGTTAAACTAAGCCTTCTTGTTTCGGAGCAGAAACAGGTGCAACACAACAACTGGAGTGCTGTGCTGCAATTCATGTTTCTTTACAAAGAATCCAGACTTGACATTGTTTTATCAGGTGTACATACTCGCATGGCAGATGACTTTTGTCCCATCACTTGTTTCTATTCAGTTTTATTTATTTGTTTACAGTTAGACGTAAAGCTAACCATTTTCTTAAACTCAGCAGATGAAGTGTTACTGTGCAAGCCTTTGTGAATGATGAGTCTCCACCAGGTAGTTGATGTTAGTTGATATGTGCGATGCAGATCATCATGGCTAAGCCGGCAGGGGGACCCAAAACTCCAAAACAGAGAGGCCATTGGGACAAGGACGAGTGGGACGAAGCACCTGATAATTTTGAAACTCACCATTAGAGGGCGAACACACAACCTCCGTCAGTAGGTCCTGGATTGCGTGTGTGATTTTATTTCTCTAACTCACTCGCTCACAGGAAACTGAAGTTTGAAATGTTGGTTTTTGTGCCTGTCACTACTAACAACGGGTGTGATACAGAACTACTTGCAAGGAAATGTTGAGCTGCAGCATTCAGCTACCTCAAGGGTGTTTTTAATATAAAGTGTGTCACTGACAGCAAACTAAATCACTTGCACTAAACAGTATGGTGTGATGGCATGCTGCATGCACTCATTACATTTGCATTGGAAGTGAATTTCAAAATGTTGCATGTCATTTAATAAAAAGGTAACAGGTAAGAGATGAAGGGCTCGAGATGGTAATGTGGCTTCGTTGCCTGGTGGGCATTTTTCAATCACTACTTTATCAGTAAACAAACCTGAAGCCGGAAGGTCCAGCCCACTTTTTCAATAACCAACTAAGACTATTTTAAATTCAAGAAAATCCCAGGCTATGATGATCATTGTTTTCTGCCCCAGTACAGACTCCTTCATTCTTTGATTAATAACTGAATGGAGATTTGATCTTTAATTTGTGTTTCACCTTTCGTTTGAAAAGCATTATCCCATGTTGGCACATTTTGTTTCTTAGGAAAACTACAAGATGATCAATATTTCACAACTATAAATGGTCCTGCTGGGTATCCTTTAAGGATTTTAAATCTGCTCTTTCACTTTGAAAATATAACCTGCATTGTTATTTAAGCATATAAATCCAAGCAAAGAATTTTTATATTTATTTTGGGGTTTCTTCCCATTAACATGAATGTTTTAGTTGAACTATCTGTGAACCTGCCTGCTCCAGAGCCTTCATCCTGCTGTGTGGATCTGTGCTCTAGGTTTTCCGCTGGTAGAGACTGACTGATCCACTGACTAAAACCTTCTTTTCTTCTTCTTCCAGATCATCATGGCCAAACCAGCAGGGGGACCCAAACCCCCCCAGGGTGGCAAGAAGGACTTCGATGAGGATGACTGAATCTGATGCCGTGCAGCTGATGCCCCTTAGACCCTGAACGCCCCCACATGGATTCACAAAACCCTTTTCTACTTGTTTATTTAAAGCTCAACAGTTTGGGTCATTTTGTAGAAATGACCACACATTAACAAATATGTGAAAGTAAAATGTATGGATGGCACGGTTTGCTTTTTTTGTTCGTAGTCCCAAATAAAAGGCACTTGGGCTATCATCTTGGTTTGGATTTTGTTTTTTTACTTCATGTCACTCAGAAATGGGGTTTGCAATGTTGATATGTCCAGTTATTTTGATCATTTAGGAGATTGCTACATCTCATATATATATTTTTTATCATCAATTTGGGAATATTAAATGTCACTTGTAAGATCTATCATTTACCATTTTGGTACAGTATTACTATACATGACATTGTTAAAGTTCTAGACATCTGCTCTTTCAGTTGAAGCTCATAAATCAGTACAAACATGCATGTCTTTACCTTTGGTGTTTCGCCATGTGTTTGCTCTTAACATTTAGTGGGGCAGCAGAAATTATGCATGCACTGGTTTATTTATAGAACACGCAAATTGAAGAGAGAGGTTGATGAATACAGAGTTATTACTACACAATCCATTTATAGTTTTGATGCATGCAATTGTTTGTTCCATGCAAACAAACTCCACGAGGTCTGCTATGCAAATAATGTAAACGATAATATAAATTGTCCCTTGTTTGTGGAATCGATGGTCTGGTTACAGCAGAGGGAGCTGAACTCACCAGGTCGCAGTCTCATTGGATGGCAGAGATGTGGGCGGATTTGCGATTACGTTGCCCCTACAGAGGATTAACTTGTTTCTATGTCGCCATATCTATCACATTGTACACCGGCAGCGAGCTTACCTGCTGAAACGTGATAAAGAGTATATTTAAGTGTCCGTTTGTTTTTTAAAGCTGAAACGGTGTGGTGCACGCAACTGTTTAATGGCTACGATGGAGGAGCGCAGCCAAATGTGAGTTGTCCGGATGAGTTTTGCAGTGCTGATGTCCTGTCACAGTGATGGGGACCGACAGCAGTAAAAACAGGAAGGTGAGTAAGGCTGGGTACCATTACTCAGGTGTGACGCACGTGCTGGGTTTCCCTGTTTCCATGGTTATGATTTGGTTCCCAACATCACGAGGCAGCAACGACGGTGACAGACCCGGATGGTTGTGGGGGGGGGTTCCGCAGTAAACAGAAATAACGTTATACAGTTGTGTAGTTTATTGAAAATATGTTGTTTATATTATACTCGATGTTATCTCCTAAAATCGTCATTGTTGTCTTTAAATGTCCCTATAATATTTACGCTTTTACTTTGAAGGAAACATGTTCACACTTCCGGACATGTGAAATCTATATATTGGCAATAAAACGCCTTGTAATAACACACAACATTCTATTCTTTCTAACCCTAAAACTGCCCCGCCAGATGTCTCGCGAGCGGATTTTGCACTGACAGTTATTTCTGCTGAGTGACTTTATATATTTGTCCCTTCATCTGGCTCTGATGATTATAACATCCTGCACGGTTGATTGCACACATCTTGCACCACCGAGCATCAGATCTGTTGTGCAGCCCAGGGGCAGAGAGCGGGGGGGGGGAGGTTTGTGTGACCCAGTGACTGCAGATTGGGTGAATTTGTGCATCTTTTTCTTTTTTTAAATCACACGAGAGACAATCCCCAATCTTGTGTTTTTTTTTGGGATAGCATAGGCCTACAAGTATTTATTTATTATCATACTTGTTCAAAACTACAATATATGATAATTATAGAGAGGTGTGTGTGTGTGTGTGTGTGTGTGCAAGACTGCGATTACTATACATTTAAAATCAGGTGGTGCACTGGAATTGAACCTTTTAATGTCATATGCTAAGCTACAGTGTAGAAATGAAAATGAAAATATTATCACCCGAGCTGCTCCAACGATGCAACATGTATAATAAAATTAAATAAAAAAATAGTGCAAGAAGTCTATATAGGAGTCAGGCGTTGAGCTACATTCAACAGCATAACCCACTACAATTACCCATAATGCTTCTTGGTGCATCTTTTTTCCCCTTGTCCCTTCTCCAGAAGCCCGCTGAAGGGAAGGAGGATGAAGACTTCTCCTCTGGGTGGCGGTGCTTCCTCTCCAACATGGGGCTGTCCATCCCAGCAGGCATCTGTCGCCTGGCCCAACCTGCCCTGCGTCTGGGTCAGGGACGAATGCTCCAAGGCAAGGACCCCGACATCCCCGATCACGTGCTGAGGCTGGCGGGAGTCGGCCCGGGGAAGCTGAGAGCAGAGTGGAGCCTGCCGGGGTTCATTATCATGTTCCTGCCCGAATTCCCCCATAGAAATGTGCCTGGGCACGAACACTTCCAGGTAGATCTCAATTCCAACATAGACACCTGCAATGTGTAAGGCTGGATATGATTGGATAGTGTCTGTATCTCTCTGACTCTGTCACGGTTTGTTACTCCATCAGGTGATGAGTTACATTGCCAAAGGTTCGTTTGGGCCCATTCTGAAAGTGAAGGACAAAGCTAAGCAGAAAACCTATGCTGTCAAAGTGAGTCTGCTGCCTGAATCTCACATTTTAATTGTGTTTATTCACCAAAACGACAAATAAACTGCCAGTTTAATAATTCATGAACATTTTTTGTCGTCCAACAGGTTATACCCAAATCAGAGATTCTAAGACTCGGGGTGTTGGAGCAGTCAAAAGAAGAGGTTATTGTTCAGGTAGGTAATATGAAAAGACCTTGAGCATCACTGTGAATTGGTACATCTTGAACATGCCCATTTTAAGTCTATGAATTTCATCAATAATACTCAAAGTTACTTAAGTTATAAGTTTAATCATATCTTGGAAAACAAGTTCATTAGTCAGTCAGTTAGTCAGTTAGTATTTATTTATTCATTTAAGATGGGACAATGCACATGAATTAACATGAGCACTTGAGTCCATTATGTAAACGTACAGATTTAGCCATTGAGGCACTTTGGCAGGTTGATGGCATTAAAAGGACTTTCATACAAGAGCACATGAACACATTTAAAACACATAAGCACATTTATAACACATAAGCACAATTTAAACACAATAACAGAGCATATTAAATATAATCTGTCCAATGAAAAGTACATTAAAACAAACCCATAAACACACAAAAGTACATACATAAGCACAGATTAAAACTAATAGGCACTGACAACAACAATAAAAGGACTTAACCCCTACCACAGTTTATGAAAGCATGTTTGATTGACCTGTAACCACTGTTTTACAGATTTACATACTTAGTTTATTAGTTTATAATCCAGTGAATGGCCCTCTCTTTGTTCATTGGCCCTATTTGAGATTTTCACGTTGATCTTGGAACTTTGCCCGCAGCGTCAGGTTCGCCACCCATTTGTCCATGACCTGCAGGACTGCTGGCAGACTCAGCGCCATCTCTACATTAGTGAGTCAGCAAAAGACCACTGACCCAATCCAACCCAGATCCACTATCCCAAAACCCCTCACTGCCTTTTCCTCTCCTCAACACTGGTAGTCGTGTCCAGAATCTACCCAAAATACCAGACCCAACAGCGAGAACAATACAACCAAAATAAAAAAGATAAAATGAGGTCTTCTTCTTCTGGTTGTTTTGCTTTGAGACTTAAATCCCTACAATCCCAATCTGCTACTGTCTGTGTGTCCTATATCTGCTTTGCCTCCTTTTTCCTCTCTTCAGAAGCCTTTACCCTTTTTTACCAAATCAGCCACTGACTCAGAAAGTGTGACCCAGAACGTGTGTTACTCTTCACCCCTGTGAGTAAAAGGGAGCAAAGTTAGCCCGGGAACCAGATGTTGAACACTGCATCTCAACACGTGCACGCGCAGGAGAGGGCACTCGCTCGAATAGTGAATCATGACTGAAATACTAAGCCATACCTAGGGCTTGTGAGCAAGTTAAGACTGTATAAAGCCATCCTTCTGTATTAAAGAGGGTGGCTTCTTGAGGCTAGATTACTATCTCAAGGGATGGTCAATTATTCCAAACAGGCACTTGTTCACCATTTACCCCACTTGTATAAACTGTGTGCTTGGCAGACTTACTGAAAACAGTGAGTCACCTTTTTCTTTTTTTTTGGAAAATAGTTTTACACTCTCCTCACATTCCTCTTTCCTTTTACTTCCACCAGTGTGTGTTCCACATCCCGCTGACCTTCACTACCCGTCCGTCACACCTCTCTTTGCATGACAAAGCATGTTTTAACGCTGTCTCTTCCCCCGCAGTGTGTGACTACTGCAGCACAGGAGACCTGTACACCTACTGGCAGATGATTGGTCAGTTCTCAGAGGACACAGTGCGAGTGTTTGCAGCCGAGTTGGGATGTGCACTCGGTGAGCAGCATGATCTAATATTTTGATATTTAACACCTCAAGCTGTTTCCTTCAAATAGTTAGATCAGAAGTGACTATTGGAAAGTTTCCCTAGTTAACGGTATTTAATGTAAGTAAATATAAAAAGAGCATTTATCTGTGGTAGGATCCCCCAGAGCAACAAAGCAGTGGGTTTTAAATATGCCATTGGGATATAGTAGTCTAGTTGAGTTTATATTTGTGCTGTTCTTTTCTGGTTTTATGCAGGCTTTCTGCACGACTTTGGGATCATTCACAGAGATTTGAAGGTAAGAGAGAGAGGTTAATCATACGTTTTGGACCCAAATAAAAGACCTTTAATGCACTGGAAAATCTGCTACAAAATTACTATTGTTTATATACAGTAGTTGATTAGTTTAGTTAATATGAATGTGTGTTCAATTCATTATCTTTGACGATTTATTTTGGTAGATGGAGAATATCCTGTTGACAGACAATGGTGAGTAAGTGCTTTATAAATAAACCTTGATTTGATTTGATTTGAGTAAACACCAGCAGAGAGCAGCATAACTCCTGACTGCAGGAGAACCTTCCAGAACAAGGAACATCTGTCAGTCTATCACTGTAATGCCCTTGTTGTATCCCTGTATATTCTAAGGAGATCTGGTTAGGATGGGAAATATTCAGAACATTACTACACCAGTAACTCATATAAAATGTCATGTCACATGCACATCATGAAAAATGGTCTGTTCTAGGACACATCCGCTTAGCTGACTTTGGTTTGTCCCGTCGCCTGGAGGGAGGAGGAAGAGCTTTTACTATTTGTGGAACCATCC